CCTCTAGTAATTATGATCCCAAGAGATAAAACTGATTTATTTTTCAAAAACAATCAATACCCCTTCTAGTTTCCCCAAAGGCCTGGAGTGGTGCAAAGGACGAAGCACTCAACTACTAGCCAGAAGGCTGGCAGTTTAAACTTACCCAAAGGTGCCTTAGGAGACAAACCTGGCAATCTGCTTCTGAAAGGTACAGCCTTGAAATCCTTTGAAGCAGTTTTACTCTGCACTTGTGGGGCCACCATGACTCAGTGCTCGACAGCAATAACAACAATAGTTTTCCCAAAGAGTGTGAGGCAGTAAAGAGTAAATTTTGGAGCTAAAATAATTACACACCTAAATGTTGTCCTTCAAAGTATTAAACTCTAAAAACCTCTACTTGGCCCATGCATGCTGCTGTTGCTTAGACGTTTTGGGGACCCCTCCTTTGGTTATCATCTGACGTCTAAAGCGTATGTGAGATGTATATGTATATGTATATGTATGTGTATGTATATATATATATATATATATATATATATCAGAGACTTTAGTGTCCCGGCCTTGATACAAATAATCTTCTCCACTCTAGGTGCCAATCGTAAATTCAAGTGCCTTTTGCCAATTTTAATCTATTGAAGCCACCCTCAAAATAGTAAAGATTTAGCCCCATTGCAAATGAGCATGTGAACATGTCAGAGGCCCTGGAGATAATTCCTTGGTGAAATTCCAAACATGTTTTGATCAGTGGAAGCAGTATTGTAATGAGGTCATGGGTGACTACCTTGACAAGAACAACAACCCTCCTCTGTGTATTAAAGTTCTAATATGTTCACCACTAGTACGGTAAGGGTGAGGTGATGGGGTTCCTAGGGTTACAATGGTTAGCATGCTCGGCTGCTAACCACAAGATTGAATGGAAGTTTGAGTCCATCCAGAGGCAACTCAGAAGAAAGGCCTGGTGATCTGCTGCCCCAATAATGAGCCACTGAAAACCCCATGCAGCACAACTGGTTTACTGGTACACAGGGAAAGGCACCACACTCCTCAGAAAGAAGATTGGGCAACTACTTCTGTAGTGATACCGCCTCAGAAACCCAAGGAGGGGTCACTATGAGTAGGATCCGACTCAACGGCAGTGAGTTTGTTTTTTGGTTTTTTGGGTCGAATAAGCATAAGAAGTAACATTATTGTTCACACACTCTGTGCCAGGCACACCTTCAGTTCCCATAACAAGCCTGTAAACCAAAACCAACCCCAAACCCGTTGCTGTCAAGTCGATTACAATTCATAGTAACTGTTTAAAACAGAGTAGAACTGCCTCCTAGGGTTTCTAAGGCTATAATCTTTGTAGAATCAGATTACTACATCTTTCTCCCGTGGTGCAGCTGGTGAGTTTGCATCACTGACCTTTTGGTTAGCGGCTGAGCACTTTAACCATTGTGACACCAGGGCTCTTTTTTTTTTTTTTAACAAACCTCAGGAGTAGGTACTATCATTATCTCCACGTTTCAAAAGTAGAAACTGAGGCATAGAGAATTTAGGAGAGTTGCCCAAATCACGTAACTGGGAAGTGGATTCAGACCAAACCATTGAGTCAAGTGGCATGCCTGCTTCCTTAGCCTGGTCTCCACCACCCTGCCTCTCCTCCATGCTTGCTTGCATTCTTTTCTGCTGGGAAGAGGCAGCCCACTCACTGAAGATGGAGCAGCAAGAGATTGGGCAGCACCTGCCTCAACAGGGAGCTGCAACCTTTTGCTTTGCATGGGCTGGATGCAGCTGTGGTTCTTCTCAGCTCCCCCAGATGTGCCCAGCTGGCTCACTTCTCCATTGCGTTCTAATCAACCAAACACACTGATTCAAGTTCAAAGTAGCCCTTCCAGCATCAGGACAGAAGCTTTTACATGTCCAAGCTAAAGGCCTCCTCAATGCCAATCAAGAGGTTAACTGTGTACATTGGACTGCATTTGCTGGAAAACTGGGGCAATAACTATGCAAATTGGTGAAGCAAATGACACACCCTGGAGTTGTGCCATGCACTGTTTTTACAACCATAAGCAACCACCAGTAAAAATATTAAAAAGTCAAATCGACTCTGACTCATGGCAATCCCCCGTGTGGCTCAGAGTAGAACTGCACTCCACAGGATTTTCAGCAGCTGATTCTTCAGAGGTAAATTGCCAGGCCTTTCTTCCAAGGCACCTCAAACGTTTGCCAATCTCTGCTTTAAAGGAAACCAACTCACATACGTATTCTATATAAGGCTGTCATTTAATAAATACTGAGTGTTTATAACTAAGCCTTTATAAAGCTTTTTGGGTTAAAAAAAATAGTAGAAAACCTCTGCCGCTACAGCTGAGCTCAAACCCGAAAAATTTTGGAAAATACTAATGTAGAAGCTGGGGTGATGTTAGCTGCCATCAAGTCAGCTCCCCACTCATGGCAGCCCCATGCACAGTAGAATGAAGTAATGCCAAGTCCTACACAACAGAACAACACCACCACCATGTTCATGATCAGTTGCAGACTGGACCTCTGTAAGCCCTAAGCTTTTCATTGACTAGTCTTCAGAAGTAGATCACCAGACCTTTCCTTCGGGGTACCTCTGGGGAACTCAAACCTCCAACTTACAGGCAGCAGCCAAGTACATTAACCATTTGCACCACCCAGGGACTCCCTGTAAATAACAGTCCTGCCTCAAATTTTCTGTTCATTTAGCCAATAGCCCGGGAATCAAAAGGAATCTTAGTACACGAGGCATAGAAAACAGGCCCCTAGGGACTTTCTCCAGCTTCGCTGACTGGTAACTAGTCCCGTGGGTCTCTGCACTTTGAAACAGAAGCTTGTTAACCCAAATAAATAGCTAATTAGTGGAATTTAAAGCATTGTGACAAGAGTGATAGGAAGAATTTCATACAGGGTGAACCTATTTTTGGCCAGTGATGTCATACAAAAATGTCCCTTGACAAAATAATAAGAGTGTGTTTCTCCAGACATTCCTATTAAAGCACTCTCAAAAAAAGCTCATTTGAACAAAGTAACAGCTCTGAGAAATAGAATCATTATTTGCATTTTCAAGATAAGAGGACAATGGAGGTTCTTGTCTGATGACTTCAGTATGCCCCATACTGTATTAAAACCAGGACTTCGAACCAGTTCATTCTGGTTCGACCCCCTGATGAGAATTTGCATTTCCACTCTAGATGTACTGAATTGGAATCTACATTTTAACAAGATTCTGGAATTAAAATAGGGATCTGTAAGAATTAGCTGGGGATCTTGTTAAAATATAGATTCTGATTCCATGTATCTAGAACGAAAACGTATATTCTCGGCAGGGAGTCGAACTGGAATGAACCATTCAAAGCCCGAGTTCAAGCCAAGAGGAAATATACCAGCTGCTGTAGAGTTGATTTCCACTCATGACAACCCTATGTGTGTCACAGTAGAACTCCGCTCCATAGGGTTTTCAATGAGTGATTGGCTACTAACCAAAAGTTTGGTGGTTTGAATCCACCCAGAGGAGCCTGGAAGAAAAAAGCCTGGAGATCTGCTTCTGAAAAGTCAGAGCCAAGAGAACCCATGGAGCACAGTTGTACTCAGACACACGTGGGATCACCATGAGTGAGAGTCAACACCATGGCAACTGGTTTGGCTTTGGCTTGGATCTTTTGGAAATTGATCATGAATGAGGCCTTTCTTCTGAGGTGCCATTGAGTGGATTCGAACCACCAACCTTTCAGTTAGTACCTGAGCACTTAACCCTTTGTGCCCCATGGGGATTCCTAATATTGTGTTAAGTGCTTGATACTCATTATCTTACTTAGACTTCTAAAGGATCCTGAGAACTAATATTACCTTCCTGTTTGGTGGCATAGTGCCTAAGGCATTTGACTGCTAACCAGAAGGCTGGCAGTTCAAATCCACTAGCCACTCCTCAGAAGGAAGGTTGGGAAATCTACTTCCATAGCGATATCACTTTGTAAACCCAAGGAGGAATCGCTATGAGTCGGATCCGACTTGGTGGCAGTGCATAGCATTGTTTTTGCATTGTTTTAGATGAAGAAACCAAGGGGTTAGAAGTATTGTCCAAGGTCATTCAGCTGAGCAATGTCAGAGTCAGGACTTGAACCAGATCTGCCTGGTTCTAATCCCAAGCACTTTCCAGTACATACATCACGTAGGCAAACCCAGGGAGTTCCTGTCTGAAAAACTGACTGCAACCAAGGGGAGATAGGAACCAACATTGAGTACATCCTATACCAGGATGTGGATCGCAAAAGGTTAACACACTCAGCTGCTAACCAAAAGGTTGGAGATTCAAGTTCACACAGAGGCACCTTAGAAGAAAGGCCTGGGGACCTACTTCCAAAAAATCATCCGTTGAAAACCCTGTGGAGCACAGTTCTGCTCTGATGTACCCGGGGTCGCTGTGAGTCAGAGGTGATGACAAGTGGTATGGATTTTTTTTTGACTATATGGGAGCTCTGGTGGCGTAGTGCCTAAGCCTTTTGACTGCTAACCAGAAGGCTGGCAGTTCAAACCCACCAGCCACTCCTCAGAAGGAAGGTTGGGCAATCTACTTCCGTAGTGATATCGCCTTGGAAACCCAAGGAGGGGTCGCCAAGAGTTGGATCCGACTCGATGGCAGTGGGTGGATATGTTGTCTTATATGCTTTTCACAATAACCCTTTAGAGCAGGTCTCATTTCCCCTCTGTTGTACATAAGAAAACTTGTAGGTGATAGTTGAGATTTAAACCCAAGTCTTCAGCTCCAGAGATTGTGTTCTTTCCATGATGCAGGTCCTCCAGGGAAGCATTCTGGCTCCTCCTGATGGGATCTTGTTAAATTCAATATCAATGTCATTGGGAAGGTCAGACTCACACAGCACATAAAGAGCACTGTGGAGAGCTGTTACACGACCCACATGCACCTCTCAGGAGACAGAGGGCAGGGCCCCTGCTTCTCTTGCTTTCTTCTCCTTCCTTGCTAACAATCCATTTCTTGCTTTCTCATACAGGTGAGCATCTCCACTGTGGGCTATGGAGACATGTACCCTGAGACCCACCTGGGCAGGCTCTTTGCCTTCCTCTGCATTGCTTTTGGGATCATCCTCAATGGGATGCCCATCTCCATCCTCTACAACAAGTTCTCTGACTACTACAGCAAGCTCAAGGCTTATGAGTATACAGCCATAAGGAGGGAACGGGGGAAGGTGGACTTCCTGCAGAGGGCCAGGAAGAAGATGGCTGAATGCTTGGCTGGAAGCAACCCACAACCCACCTCCAAGCAAGAGAACTGATAGTGGAACATGTGGCTGGTAGATCCTGTGGACTTCAAAGCTAATTGGCATCATCTTTATTTATTATCAGGATTGTCAATGAAAGGGCACATGAAGCAGACATTCATAAAGGGCATTCCACTCAGAAAGTTCTACCACTAGATTTAGGCCCAAACTCAGACTGCTTCACAATGCTCTTTATGTGCTGTGTGAGTCTGACCTTCCCAATGACATTGGAAACCCACTGGATGTCACTGTGAGTCGAAATCGACTCAATGGCAGTGGGTTTGGTTTTTGGCTTTGTAATATAATCTTGGGGATTGGAGGTCATGTTTGTAAATGCTCAATAAATGATAGCTATTACAATTATGCGAGTGGTTGTTGTGTAGGAGATGTTCTAGGACAGTGGCTTTCAACCAAGGGAAATTTTGCTCCCCCCATGCACACAATGTCTAGTCTCTGGGAAGGAGCCCTAGTAGCATAGTGATTAAGTGTTCAGCTGCTAACCGGAAGGCTGGTGGTTGGAACCCATGGAAGAACAATGTCACGGTCTGCTTCCATAAAGATTACAGACTAGGAAACCCTCCGGAGAAGTTCTACTCTTTCCTATGGGGTCACTGTGAGTGTAATTCACTCTTTGGAACACAACGCCAACAAGTTCCTGGGTGGTGCAAATGGTTTGCCCTTGGCTATTAACCAGTGTAGAAGAAAGGCTGGCGATCTGCTTCTGTAAGGTCACAGCCATTGATAACCTTGTGGAGCATAGTTCTCTTCTGACACATGGGGGCACCATGATTTGGAGTTGACTCAACAGCAGCAGGTTTGGCTTTTTGGTTTGAGAGACATTTTTAATTGCCATCACTGTGGGGAAGGGTGGAGAATGCTACTGGCATATAATAGGTAGAGGCTTGGGATGTTGCTAAACATCCTACACAGGACAACAAAGAATTCCAAAATCCATCGCTGTTAAGTTGATTCTGACTCATAGCAACCCTACATGATAGAATAGAACTGCTCCATGGCGTTTCCTAGGCTGTAAATCTTTATGGAAGACTGTCTCATCTTTCTCCAGCAAAGATGCTGGTGGTTTCAAACAGCTGAACTGGTAAGCAGCTGAGCTCTTAACCATTGCACCACCAGGGCTCCTTAACAAAGAATTATCTGACCCAAAATGTCAACAGGGCTGAGGCTGAGAAGCTGATCTGGGCTTACGAGACTTGGCCTGTGAGGTGTTCCAGAACATGCCAGCCCCTCCCTCCCTAGAAAGGCACCCCTGCTTGGTCTTCATTCCCAGGTCCTGCTTCCCCTCTCCTTTCCATGAGAAACACCTTGCCGTTTGGACCATTGGCTAAGCATAGACCAAAGGGAATAGAGTAGATGGGGCCTTCCCTCTAGGCCCAGTCTAAATCTCCTTTGGAAGTGGGTCCTTTCTCCCCACTCCCCTTTTATGTCTATATGTCTGTCTTTCTCTGTAAGACTATTGGAAACTAAAAACCAAAAAATCAAACTCACTGCCATTGAGTTGGATTCAACTCACATTGATCACTCCTTGGGTTTCCAATTCGGTATCTCTACAGAAGTAGATTGCCTCACCTTCCTTCTGAGGAGTGGCTGGTGGGTTTGAACCATCAGCCTTCTGGTTAGCGGTCAAATGCCTTAGGCAATATGCCACAAAAGCTAAGGTGTTGGAAATCAAAGCCTTGTTTGACATGAGCAAGCAGATGTTGCCCTTGTAAGTGGGCTGGTCACACTGACCACCAGATTTCTTTCAGAGGGTCTATACTTGTGTTGTCATTTGACTGCTAACTGGAAGGCTGGTGGTTCAAACCCACCATCCACTCCTCGGAAGGAAGACTAGGCAATCCACTTCCATAGTGATACCACCTCAGAAATCCAAGGAGGGGTCGCTATGAATTTGGACCTGATTCTACAACAGTGAGTTTTGTTTTGTTTTTGTTGTTGTTATGTGCCGTCAAGTCGGACCCGACTCATAGCAACCCCTCCTTAGGTTTCTGAGGCAGTATCGCTACAGAAGTAGATTGCCCAACTTTCCTTCCAACTTTCCTTCCAAGGAGTGGCTGGTGGGTTTGAACCGCCAGCAATATATATATACTTGTGTCGTAAAATAAGTGTAATAGTTTTGCAAGTTCTTTCAAAGACAGGCTCTGTGAGTTTTATGTATAGTATACAACTTCATTTTATCTTTAATGCATCCCTGAATAAGGTATTATATTCCATTTGTTATTTAGGAAGAAACAGAGCAGAGAGGTTAATTAGTCCAAGTTCACTGAGCCAATAAATGGTGGATGCTGTTTGTTAGCTGCCATTGAGTTGGCCCAACACTTGGCAACTGTGTGTGACAGAGCAGAACTGCTCCATAGGGTTTTCTTGGCTGTCTTTATGGAAGGAATTTACAAGGCCTATTTCTTCTGCGGAGCTGCTGGGTGGGTGCAAACCGCCAACTGATCCCAAACCACTTGTGCTAGCTGGGCTTTTATAAATGGTGGAACTGGGTTCAAACCCAGATCTGTCTGGATCCCTGAAGCTCTCGAACACAGTGAACGCTGGTTCTCCAACTGCATCTGAACCACCTGGAGGGCTTGTGGAAGCACAGGTCATGGGGTTTTCCATTCAGTAGGTTCTGGGTGGAGCCCAAAGATCTGTATTTCTGACAACTATCAGGAAGTGCTACTGATCCTACTGGATCAGTACTGGTACCAGCACCACATTTTGAGAACCAAGTCTAAATCACTCACTGTGGCTTTCCCACAGGAGCTGTGATTACGAACCTGAGTGCAGTTGCCAGAATGAAACTGGATCTCCCTGCTCATTACTCTTAAGCTTCCTTAACATCATAAAAAATGTGGACATCACTTGTGAGATTTCTGGACAAAATACAGGATCGCCAGAGTGTAAAAATGGTGGCATAGTGGGGGAATCTGACCTCATCATCTAACTTCACAAGTCGAAGAGAGAACATCACTATAAGCAACAACAGCCAAAGGCTGATTCTTTCGAGGCAAAGGCCAGACATACCTCCTCTTTCCAAACTTTTCACCAGTTCCAACAACAGCCATCCATCCCATGGCACTCTCTACTCCTCTGCTGGGTTTGATAATTCATTGCAAAGGCCACACAGAACTCACAGATAATATTCATGATTATGGAGTTTACTAGATAAGTTGTTGTTAGGTGCCATCAAGTCGTTTCCAACTCATACAGCAGAATGAAATGCTGCATAGTCTTGCGCCATCCTCATAATTGTTGCTATGTTTGAGCCCATTCTTGCAGCCACTGTGTCAATCCATCTCATTTAGGGTCTTTCTCTTTTTTGCTGACCCTCTACTTTACCAAGCTTGATGTCCTTCAGGAACTGGTCCCTCCTGATAACCAGTCCAAAGTACATGAGACACCATTTCATCATCCTCCCTTTTAAGGAATATTACTTCTTCCAAGACAGATATGTTCATTCTGGCAGTCCATGGTATGTTCAATTCTTCCCCAACACTATGATTCAAATGCATCAATTCTTCTTTAGTCTTCCTTATTTGTTGTCCTATTTTCATATTCATATGAAACAATTGAAAAGACCATGGTTTGGATCAAGTGCATCTTAGTCCTCAAAGTGCTATCTTGCTTTTTAACACTTTTAGAGGTCTTTTGCAGGAGATTTGCCCAATGCGATACATCATTTGATTTCTTGGACATCGATTGTAGACCCAAGTAAAATGAAGTCCTTGACAACTTCAACCTTCTCTCCATTTATCGTGATGTTGTTTACTGATCCAGTTGTGTTGTTGTTGTTGTTAAGTGCCGTCGAGTTGTTTCCGACTCATAGCGACCCCATGCACAGCAGAACGAAACACTGCCCGATCCCGCACCAGCCCCACAATCCCTGCTATACTCGAGCCCATCATCGCAGCCACTGTATCAATCCATCTCATTGAAGGCCTCCCCCTCTTTTGTCGACCCTCCACCCTACCAAGCATGACATCCTTCTCCAGGGAATGGTCCCTTCTTACAACATGACCAAAATAGGTGAGACGAAGTCTGGCCATTCTTGCTTCCAAGGAGCATTCTGGCTGCACTTCCTCCAGGACAGATCTGTTAGTTCTTTTAGCAGTCCATGGTACTTTCAGCATTCTTCGCCAGCACCACAACTCAAAAGCATCAACTCTTCTTCGGTCTTCCCTATTCATTGTCCAGCTCTCACATGCATTTGATCCAGTTGTGAGGACTTTTGTTTTCTTTATGTTGAAATGTAATCCATACTGAAGGCTGTATGTGGTCTTTGATCTTCACAAAAGTGGTGGATTAGAGAAGTACCAATTTACAATTCAGGATCAGGAACAACTCAAGATATAGTTCTGTCAGGGCAAGTTGGAACAGCTTTTTGGGCATGCCCACAGGCAAGTTTCTTTCTGGCCACCCCTTCACCTCACAGGCCTCTAGGGCCAGCCTGGCCTCTGCCCTACTCAGGCAAGTAGTACAAGGCTTGTTAGCTCTACCAATAAGTGCCCATAGGCAGCCCACTCCACCAGCCAGCCTCTTGCCCAGACACTCAGCTTTCTCTCTCTGTGGGCTGGGAAGTCCACCATGCAGTCTTCTGCCCTTTTCCTGGTTCTGCTGCTACTACTTCTCTGAAGTCCTTGCCACCATTTCTCTCCATTTTATGCTGTCTCTGGTGTTACAGCTCTCTGTCTCTTGGGTGTAGGAGGTTCTCAGTGCAGGGGCCCCAGGTCTAAAGGACATGCTCTGCTCCTGGCTCTTCTTTCTTGGTGGTTGTGAGGTCCCACCTCTGCTCTGGGATGGCTCCTGTTAAGCTTCAAACCAAACTCACCATCATTGAATCAATTCTGACTCATGGCAACCTCCATTGGTTTCCAAGGCTGTAAATCTTTATGGAGGCAGACTGCCTCATCTTTCCTCTGTGGAGCAGTGTGGGTTTTAACCCCAACCTTCTGGTTAGCAGACAAATGCTTTAACCACTACACCAATAGACTGCCTATATTTTAAGCCTA